CATAGTTGCTACAGTGTTTTCACTCTGCAATCCTTGCACTGCGTAGCTGTCCCCGACGCAATCGGTAAGGTTCCCTGATTCAACTGTTCGAAGCTCAGTTTCCAGAATCGCTAACCCTAGCAGCGACAGGCGCCGCCGACAGCTGTCGGGAAGGTTGAACCAGGTTCAACTTTGCCGATTGCGTTGCAGACGAATCGAGGTGCCTTCCCGATTGCGTCAAAAGCAGCTAGCAATGCACAATGATTGATGATTCGTTTGCAACACAATCGGCAAAGTTGAACCAGGATCAACCTTCCCGACAGCATCCAGACCCGACATCTTCGAAAGATCATGCATATAAATTAGGAAGACAAAATATCTAACTGTGTAGTACTTCGCAGAGCAGGAGTACTTTTTACACCAAAAAATAAACGTCTCCCTCGAATCAATTCTCCCTCAAAAACACTTCCCAAAAGAAGGTTCACTGATAGTGGAACGAAACGGTACGTAGGCCTATACTTTTAATTGGTGTTAAACTAAGAATTTTACAATCAATACTTGCCCCAGAGGTGTTTATTCGAATAAATACGGTAATTATAACGATTTACAACTTTAAAAAATTGTTTATGTTTATATTTAAGGTTTATTTATTCAACAATAAAAAGACAGAGGGCAGCATTAGCTGAACTCTCTGTGTACATAAAACAGTAAAAAAGGTATTATACAGTATATAAATGCAGCACAAAAAAAAACAAAAGTGACATCAAAAGCTATACACAATTTTAAAATTAAAACAACCAGGCCTATCATCCACCATTATTATAATTATTATGTGAAGGAATCATTATCATATTACTGTATCTTAAACCAATTTAAAAAGTTATTGTTAGCATTAAATTACCGATGAAATATAATCAAACAAACAATATTTTACTTAGAATTATTAAGACAATCAATAATTGTAGGGATGGTGGAGTTTTTCCATCTACACAAAGGGGCACTAAGTAAAGTACCGGTACTATTTCTCAAGTTTCTACCGTGTATTGCGATATGGGAGAAGCATATCACGAAACAGTTTTGAAGCAAGAATTTCATTACCAAACTTCATCATTAAATTATCTCTCCTAGTATTAAGAGAAGAGAGCCCGGACAATATTAAAGCATTATCATAACTACAATAATCCATACCGAAAATACTTTTGAACCCGCTCAATTCTATTACGTTAGATAATGGTTAAAGAACTGTGCCACAATGGGCATGCGTATTCCAAAACAGGACGAGTGTAAGTAATGAAAACGCACAAAAGATCATTTACATGGGGCTTTGGCTTTCCTTAGAATTGAAAGGGTAAAAAGGCGTTTAGAAGCTTTAGAGATACATTCATTCACATGTTTGTCCCATTTTAAATCATTTTGAATAATTACACCTAATAACTTCATAGAATCGACCACATCAATTACCTGGTCATTAAGGGTACCAATAGGAGTACGGGATTGTAAAAACGACACTCTCATAATATGACATTTACTGGGTTTAGGAAGCATACAATTGTTAGTGCACCGCAAGCTAACATTATCAAGAATAGATTGCATCTTTTGATCTCCCCTTTTAGCGTTCACTACTTCCCCCAATGTTAAATCATCAACGTATTTCCACCTTCTAGGGACATCGCGGGCCACGTCATTAACAAGAACTAAGACTCAGGATGGGGCCCAATTTCGTCCCTTGAGGGACACTGTAGTAGATTAGTACCACTGTTATTGGGATATTGTTACAGAGAGGGCGTCTGTCAAGAGATGTGGGTTGTTGTTATCGTCTCGGTGCAGACAGCCATGTTGAGTAGAAATAAACTACAGTAACCGAACCCTGCAGTTAAGAATAGGAATAACAACCAAGTTGGAGATGCCGGTGTCAGCAGGCCAGCTCAAAACTCACCTAGCAGGGAGTTGTAAAACATCTCCCTGCACTGAGCATGGGCGATGCACACAGCATTCAATGGATTACGACACACAACAAATTGATTTGAGAGGCCATACATTAAAAAAAATGTATATATTAATGAGGTAATTTTTTGAGTTGGGAAAAGATAAAAAAAAAAACAAAAAAAAACAAAAAAAAAAACTACTACTTTAGTACTACAGAATTGGTAATTTAACAACAGTAGCATGATACTTTGTAAACGGGCCACTATACCGTCACCGATATAGCGATCCTTCCGTGCATATATAATACTTCAATTTAATTTATAGTAGAGCATAACGTTTTTTAAAGATCTAATATATTGCAAGAACAATTTTGTTTTTAATATTGCAAAAATAAGCATGTTAGTTTGTTTATCAAACCATAGAGAAAATATTCTGTTCTATTTTCTCTATGATCAAACGAGTTACAATACTACCGGTACTTAACCCAGCAGGATATAGATAAAAATAATTAATAATAATAGGCAGTTTTCGCAAGCTAACGGAGACGATAACGAATACTGTTACATCAACAATTTTTTTTAGACTCCTCTTCATATTCAGCTGTACCGCATATTGTCAAGAATGTTAAGCCTGGCACTCACTGTCGTCCTACGGCGAATCCAACTCCGCTCCCTATGAGCGCTTGACGGCATGGTGCCGTCTGCCGATTCTCAGTTAACAATCTGTATTGATCGTCATTAAAAACGATCCATTGCATGCGCATGCGTCGTGGCGTTGCATCGTGTCGGCCGACGACGTCGGTCGCAGTGAGTGCCCGGCTTTAGGCACGAATGACGATAATGATAATGACGTATTCGTTATTGTTTTCGTACGGTTGTGAAATATCTCTAATGATATAAATAATTTGGCATTTATAAGGCGAACTTTCCAAGACATTTAATCACCGTAGGCCTACATATAAAAATGATTAATGTTAAAATGGACAATAATAACCAAAACAAGCAAAAAAAATGTACGGCTGCTGCCGCCACAGTAACTGCCGCGGCGTCGCCACCATTGCTGGTTTTTAAATTTTTATAATAATATTATGTTTAGAACAATTACTTTTTCATTACAAAATGGTTTTTATTTATATAGTGCATTATAGGATAGAATTTAAATAGGCTACTGAATTTATATTATATTGTTGTTTAGTATTTTCTTATTTACCTGTGTATCCTCATCATCAGCGATTTTCTTTTTGTCTTTGTCTCAAAATGTTAGTACAATCACAGAATTAATGATGGAGCACTAATAAAATTAATATAGTCGTTTTCGAGAAAACACTGTCATCAGATAGGCCTATTACATTAGATGTAAGTGTGCGTATTCAGGAATCACTGGAAGGCTCTTTAGTATAGTAGGCCTAATGCTGTTTTTTTTCTTCTTTAACTAAAATTATTTATTTAATAGTTTTAAAAATGTGCATACGATGTGATAGACTACATTTTCCTGGCAGTTTCGCAATCACAGTACCAAAATTTCATATTTGCTCCGGAATAACATGATTACTCCAGAATATCTTGTTAAGGAAATTAGGCCGGGCACTCACTGCGTCGTACGACCGTAGTACAAGGTCCCCACCTCGCTCCATTTGAGCGATAGACGACGCGACGCCGTCTGTTGATCATCGGTGGCAGTCTGAACAGATCGTCATTAAAAACGAGCAGTTGCATTTCTACATTGAATCGCGTCGGCCGACGACCGTCGGGCGCAGTGAGTGCCCGGCTTTACTCAAATTCTATAGAGGATGTTCTTGAAAAAGTCTGATGTAACTTCATCTTGTTAAATTGATTTATAATAGTGCAAATAATACATAGGCGTCTTTCAATATTTTGATGATTATATATTTCTTAAATGTACTTTGTTTCACGATGACGGGCGTGGTCCTTTTATATTTTGACAAGATAAGTTGATCCAAAAGGTCAAGTGGTGTAAGAAGGTGTTATTTACAATTTAAATTTCTTCTTACTGCTAGCTAGTAAGCGAAATGTCAAGAGAAGTATTGTTAAATCATAAATAGGTAACACCCTCTTACATCACTTGACTTCCTTTTACATCATAAAAAACATGCTGTAACTACACATTTATCATCAATTCCATAAGCTCATTCTCCACTGATTTACGACGTTATGTGGTGTGTACGTCACATGGTGGCCGTGTCACAACATCGCAAAAATAATACGTGGTAATCCCTGGAAAGCGTACGACGTACGTACGTACTGCATGGCGAGCGCCCAAATCGGCTTAGCGAGAGAATAAAAAACCTAACAGGTTTATAGGTAATTTACCTGAGACAACTACTGTATATATTGTCTTAGACTTTACCTTTTAGTTTGCAGTGGTATTACGAATAAAATTAATGAAAAATGCTTAATAAAGAATGCCGTGTTAAGACGTTATTACAAAAAGTTTACAATGACCATTGTAGTTGAAACAAATAATGGTTTAAGAAGATATAACTTAACTATGTCATGAACTGAAAGAAATTGAAACATAAGTTATTAAACTTACAATTCGAGAAAAAAAAATATATATATACCTAGTGTGGGAATTATGGGAAAATGCATAGACGATTGAACAAAACAATCCTCAGGCGGCCTACTAGTACTGTAATCTGGGGACGCGCGGAAGACAGCGCAGAAAACCGGATGCACGTATTCTTAGTAGCGGAACGGCCACAACAACGCGTTGTCTCCAGGTACGCGTTTCCGTTTCTGAACGGAAACGCGTACTTGTAAACTAACGAAATTGTTTGGGTGGGAAAAAAAAGGTTTTTGATTAAGAGACGACGAGTAGCCTATTTCTCGAACTAAAATACAACAAAGAGTATAAAACTCTTTGAGTACAGTAATAATAGTTTATGATGTATATCACAACTATTATGAATGAATATGAAAATGAATACTTTTTTACAGACTTTTACGATGCAAAAACGAGACGATATTCAAACATTATGAATATAATCACGCATGCGCATTCTCGTAATGACGTCAAACAGTACAATACTCATCTTCCCCAGTATAAAACTGTGATTAATTAACATACATCAGCGATATTGATTTAGATGTTCTTTTATTCACTAAATTATTGCACTTTCATAGAAAACATGTTATCACGATCCAACTATTAAAAAAAATCCAGATAAAGTTAGAGTAGACCTGTCTATCACCCTCTATCTACATACAAACAATATATTATATACATTATAAAAACCAAGTTTACAAATCTAATAATTACAATCAGGTACAGTAGTATATAATCTGCAATTTTCTAGGTTATCAAAACCACATACCCTATCAAAACTGGTCAATCAAAACGGATATAAAGCAAGTATACTGTAAAACAAAACAGCAAAACTATTTAACAGCAGAGACAATGATGCTAGTATTTTGTAGGGTCAACACAGAATTTAGTGTGAAATTGGTACATAGATTTTTACTTAGACCAAGAGCCCATAGGCCATGCCTGCATGTCTTACAATGTTCATAATAAAAATACATAACACAAAAATTACAATATTAAAAATAACCTATTATTCAAGGTAATTTTGTTTCGTTTAGGCCTAACAACCCTGGATTTCTTTCAAGTAATAACACATTTAAGTTGCAATTTATAACTTTTGCCATTTTGGTACATGGCGTTGGCATTATGGTTATCACCGCTCTAGTTTGATTTATTATTGCAGTTCTTACTAGGAAACTTTTTTTTAAACTATCAATTAGCGTCAATATCAATAATTTTTCCAATTAAATTACTGTACTGTAATGTTTGAATTCATTTTATACATTAATGTTTTATATTAAAAATATGAATCAGTGGAATGTTTATAGTATTTTTATAGTATAGTAAATATACAGTGTATTTTTACACAAAATATGCTGAATACACAGAACGCACAGCCCTGGACATGGACAAATGTCAAACGTCTACTTTATGACTAGTATTCATAGCAATATGGATTTAAAGTAGAATAAAAACCTCAAAGTAATTAATAACATTCATATAAAAAGATCAATTATCCTGCGCAAGAAAGAATCACACCAAATATCAAAGCACTACAATATAATGTAAATTGCACTGATCTAACACCGTTTTTTTCCCCTATACTTGCTTACCAGGGCTTCCTTGAAAGTGCTAGTCATTAATATCTATACCCTATATAAATAGTTTACTTATATAAATAATATTACACTAAAATAAATAACATAGTAGCTATTTTCAGAATACATTATTTTCTAACTAACCACAAGTCGTGGGATTGTAATTATAATTCCAGACACTGACAGCCGTGTGTCTAAGCCCATTGCCGACTCCAGTGGAAAATGACAGATTTCATTAAATCTGGCCAATTATTGATTGAAAAAGCCATCCTAATCTTCTCTGTATTTTGAATGTTTTTTATTTAAACTGGCATTTTGTGTAATCTTAACTTCAATGGTTAAGGCCACACACAACTAGCGGTTAGCATTATCTAGATAGTATATCCAAGGCCACCTTTCCATTCAGGCATGAAATTATCGATCTAGATAGTTCAAAATGCAGACATCATTTTAAACTAAGAAACGAGCGTTGTAGGGTCAGTATTTACCAAAAGTGCGAGTCTACACATTGCGTGAAAACTATTTATAAATGCCCATACATCCTGTGATTGTGTTGGTTCATAGATTTCCATGAAATGAAGAACATTCTTCCGATTTTACAACTTATTTTTCCAAAGTATGGGAAAGATTTTAATATATTTAATATTATTAACAGTTATTGCTGATCTTCGGTCTATAAATACCATAATAGTCTACAGAAGCGAATGGGAAATGCTAGCATCTGATTGATTGTTTATAAGAACAAGGTCAACTTGCTAACCGTTAGCACCTACAATCCTTTAACCGATCCTGATCAACTTATCCTGATCAACCTATCTGATCCTGCGTTCTCAATCAGAATGGTTAGGCCAACGGTTAGACTAACGATTAGTTTCCGATCAGGATCATAATGCTTTAGCGTGAACCAAGCCAGATATCACCAAGACTCATTTAAGCATGTCTGGTGTGGGTAGTTTTGCAAAAACCACGGGACCCAAGTCTAAAACATAAACGGGAGTAAAATTTCTACAGGAAAACTTAAGAGGATTAATGGTTAACACTTTATGATGTAGATCAGAAGTGGGCATATCAATAAGTCAAAGGCCTGAATTTTTTATTTAACATTGCAAACTGCAAGCAAATTTATGGTGAATCTTTGATGTTTCCAATGTCCTTGCAAAAATCTTCATATACTGCTTTTTTTATACCTCTCTATATGCTCAGTTCTACATAAATTTAATTTTTCTTCTTTATACTAGGTATCCCGTTCAGCAGATACAGTATCTACCGTTCTCCCGCAGGGCCCAGTTATGCTTTTAAAGTCTAATATTGAGATTTAGGGAGTGGAGTTTTTTAGTCGTGAGAAAAAATCCTGCTGTCACAGAAATTGAACCCAGGACCCTGGGATTCGAGGGGGGGGGGGGGCAACCATCTCAACAACCAAGCTAATCAATTTCATTCCACATCAGGCCGTAAAATCAAGGAGTTTTCTAGCCAAAGGAATAAGCATAGGGTTTTTAATTTATAATAGTGGGTACAATTTCTAAAATCCCTCTGCAGTGTTTTCTCAAATTTAATATCAAGCTCCAACTAACAATATCACCCAATCAGAGGCCTGCTTCCAGACACGTGCCAAAATGTGCTGCCGACTTTAAGTAGGAGCAATTTTAGCGCATTGGTTGCGGTTCTTCTTCTGATCCTTGAGGCTGGCGGTTCAATCCCAGGCTGTGCATTTTGCTTGTGTCCTTGGGCAAGCCACTTAACCTATGGTTGTCTCTCTCCATCCATGACTACAAGTAGGTACTTGGTAGGTTCCAAAACAAAATATGCTGATTACAGCTGCAACATTATGGAATTCTCTCCATGGAGCTGAGTATGTGTTCCATATATGATTGATCTAATGACCGGAAGTAATAGTGTGAAGCGATAGAGGCATTGTTGGCATACAGCGCTATAGATGTCTAACATATTATTATTATGATCAAATAACTTCATAACTGCATGTTTTACCATCAGTAATCTATTGGGTTGCTGGTTCTTGGACTACTTCTTCCAACAGTTGAAGTAAATCTTGGCCTTGCTTTCAGTTGAGCTGATTTACTTTTACCTTCTTTTGCAGCAAGCAATGGTGACCTAGAATGAAAATAACATCTCTTATTAATGATTTCAACAAAAATCAATCTCAAAAATAAACAAATTTATGAAACACAGTGAGAATAAACATATACATACATGAAACTTTAGTGACGGAGAAGGAATGAGAACTGTAATGACAGCTGTGGATTTAAGATATTCCACTGATAAGGGGGTGGAGGGGGAGCTACAAAAATGTCAACCCCACCACTGGGAATATGGTTCCCACATGATGTGGTGGGCATGGTTGATCATGGGATGATTAACTAATATTTTCAGAGGTCTTAAATAAAAGTTTTAATTTATGCCAAATTACTAGGCTATTACTTCGCGGTCATAAAAAGCATGTTACTAAACTCATGGGGAGGGGGATAAAGCAAGAGCCTCCTTCTCAATCCACCCCTCAATTACACTATGTAGCCTTAATCATACCTATCAATGAGGTACTGTATTTAAAGAGATTACATTGAAGTTAAGTAGGTTTAATTGAACCAAGGCATAAGGTACTTACTGTAATAACATGTCAATGGTACTCTGTATTGCTTGAGTCTTACGATGCTGACTGCCATACAAATTACATTTGATTCCATGACACTGTAAGATGAAACATGTTACTTTGTGACAATGGCTTTAACATTCAGTGCTTATAGTGGAAAAAGAATCCTAGAAAAATACAACACAAAAATGATAACCATATTTATTCGAATAAACGCCACGGGGCGTTTACTGTTGAGAGGGGCATTTGAGAAGGCATTTATGCGAGTGAGGCTTTAATTTTTTAGGTGCAAAATCTATATA